CCGGCTCAGGCCACAATAAACTGTGGAGGAAAAGTCTCATGTTGGTGCCAACGGCTTCAGTACAAATTCATAGTAGACAATGGGTAAAAGTCTAGATTACTTTTAGGATAAGGGCAAAAGGAGAAGCGAGAGCTTTACACTAGATTTGATTTTCTCAGGGAAATACTAAGTGGCAAGGAAAGACTAATGGAGAAGGAGGGGTGGGAAGAGGGAGACCGAGATTGGTCAGGGAAGGAGAGTGGGTAAAGTAGAGGAAATCAGAAAAAGTAAGAATAAGTTTTGTTGTTTGATTTCCTTCACTTAAAAAAAAACTTAGAGGAAATATAATGAAAATAACCATTTCTGGATAGTACAAACATGAATGTGTAATATGTCATTCTCTTATTATGTCATGTAATTATTAACTTTTTGTTATATTTAAAAAATAGCAACAAAAACAATAATTAATTCTGATGTACACTCTCAGTTAACCGCCATTACTTGAAGAGAACCCAGACTTTAATAACTATAGTTACTCTATAAAAACAATGAGGAAGAAAGAGTACACAGCCATCGGAGTGGACTGGAGCAGGGACCCAGGGCTGTGTGGCTGGTGCCTGGTCTGGGCCCCCACCTCTCTCCCAGAGTCTCTTACAGCAGCCTCTGAATTGGTCTCCCCCACTCCTAGATACCCTTTGAAAACGGCTGAAGAGATATTTCCAAATCATAAATGTGACCGACCCTTGTTGGCTCCCCACGCTGCCAGATGAACCTCGCTCCTCGGTGGGATGACCCACTTCCTGTTAGGCTCCTCCTGTCCCGTTTCCCATTTCACACCTCTGGCTCGACAGTGTCCATGGTTCCTCCAAACACCACCCCTGCCCCTGTTCTCCATGGGAATTCTCTGCCTCCCTCTACGCTCAGTTCTGACGGCACCTCCTCCCTGGGGCTTTCTTTAGTTCTCCCACACTTGGAATTCATCGCTCTTTTCCCTGCACGGTCTTTGCACTCCTCTGTTAAATTTCTACTACACAGCTCCCTAGCTGGGGACAATCTACTAGAAATCTTGTATTTTCCCCAAATGTGGCCAAAAGAACAGAAAGGTTGAGTGTTCCCCAAGACACTGCGTATTCTGCTTATTCACCTGTATATGCCCGGCACCTACTAAAGGGCCTAGAACACCTGGGCTCCCCATGGAATGGCTACTGGGCTGAAATAAGTAATCACTTCTGCACTTTTACAGTTCAGATCTACATGAAAATCTCAGACTTCTGCTAAAACAATTTTTTTTAACAAAAATTAAAACCCACACATTTTGGGGTGATCTGGCTCACAAACAAGCACTTTGAGAACAAGCACTTAGTAGAAGCATAAAGCTGACCTTTGAAACTATCCTAACAGATTTTCAGGAGTGTGACTTCTGCAGCTAGGGTGACTCCTCAGTCACCGTGACTGGAGAGTAACCACTCTCTCTCGAACCTGTTTCCTTCAGAAGAATATGGCAGGACAGGCTAAGGATCTTAGAAAACGTGAGCTTCAAGTGGGGCCCCTGAGCTGTCCTGTGAAGCTCAGAGGGACCACTGAGAGGTGGTCATTTTCCTTTCCTCCTGCCTAAAGCAGCGTAGGGGGTTTTCAAACCTTACTCAAGAGAACCAGCCAACGAGGCCATTGCTACGGATGAGAGAGTGTAAGCTTAAATTAAAACAGCTTTCACTCTTCGATACATTGAAAATTTCAAGTAAGTTTCAATCCGAAATACGAATTTTGCTGCTTCAAAAAGGCTGGAAAACCACTATCCTAAAAAATTCTGCCACACCCTTCCCCGGGAAGTGAGGAAAAACTTCTAGACAAGAGGGCACACTCGGAAGCCACAGCTGGCAGTGGCCCCAGGTGTGAGCAAAACACTTTTTCAAAGTCCAAGGGCGGACAGGGAAGTGAAATTCATCTTCCTTCCTCACAGGAGGGCAAGAGGCCTTTGTCTACCCCGGAGAACAGAAATCCTTTGACTTCTGAGCATGTGGCAAAATGGTGAGTAGCCTGGCTGGGGCAGGCACGGCAAGGACAGGTCCCGAGATGGCCCATCAAGAGCCACCTTCCCCAGGAAGCCTCACCACATCTTCTCGGAGAAAGCACAGAGCCTCTTGTAAGTCTGGACGCTTCCTGCCACCCCCACTCCTTGCCCAGAAGCTATGCTTGTTGTCTGCTGGGATGACTTCAACTTTCTGTAGTAAGTTTATCTCATTAGCTAGTGTGGGAGGCCAAGAAGACAGAGGCAATCAGCCTCACCCCACAAGAAGCTCGGCCAGGATGCTCATCCCCGCCTTCTGTGGATGTTAGACTCCAGAGCCGAACAAGAGAGTGCAGACGGAGCGGCAGGTCTACCTCTCCTGTAAGGTCAAGGGGCCTGAGCCCGTCACCTGGTCGCGGCTGGTTAGGAAGGTGAAGGCAGCAGATCCGCGCAGGCAGGTGGCGGCCAGCCTCACTCTCCTTGCTGTCCCAACTCCCTCCGAGTGGTGACACAGCGGCTCTGCAGCTAGGCCACGTCCCCCCTTAGTTGCAGGTGACCACCACAGCATCAACCCCAAACTAAGTCCACGTTTTGACCAAGGGTTCAAAGCTAAAAATTCATCTTACTTCTAAAATGTGGGGGCTGAAGCAGGGGCTGCAGGCCCAGCTCCAAGGGACGTGAGGGGCGGTGACAGGCTGCCCAGTGTGTGCTGGCGTGGAGCCCGCAGCTTGAAAACCCCTTCAACCTCCACTAGATGAACCCCTGTCTGAAAGAGCAGTGGCTTAGGATCCAGAAAGATCTGAATTCAAATCCTGACAATGCCACTTCCTAGGCTGGGTGGCTTTGGGTAAGTTAATTAAGCCTTCAGAGCCCTGGCCTCCTAAATATCATTCCCCTAAATCCGAAGACTGGAGCGCACCTCTGAGCGCGCTGACGTGAGGCAGCACGCGGGAAGCTCTGCACGCACCGCCTTCTGCCCCGCTCCCCCCACTGAGCAGCGCGCTGTCTGTGTAGCTCGTCCCTGGGATCCCCTCCACGTCTGATTTCGGCTCTTTCTGCTAACACTTGTCCTACAGCGCCCTGTGTTTCACATTCCCATTTTTACAGCCAGCTCTGTGCATAGGGGCTGGTTGTTAACTGCCCACCGTGATGAGCACCATGCCTGGAACACTCAACTGGTACCAGCTGATGGGAAGAACAAAGATCTCCATTTACCCAAGGATAACGACGCAGGGAGGAAGGACAGGGACTGTAAGAAGATGGAGGTGGTTCTTGGAGCTGAAATGCTGAGCCAGTTGCTAGCCCACTGCTTGTTTCTGCCTCCTCCTCGTGTCTGCCCCTGAGGAGAGTGGTCCAGGGCTGGCTGAAAGTGGGGGAAGTCTTCTTTTTTAAAGAACAAACACAAATACGACTGTGTGTTGGTATGTACGTGTATGTATAAAGTAACGGCAAAATTATTTTCATTGAGGAAGATTCACAAAGTCACTAAGAGAGAAAAAGAGTGCTTGCGGAATCCCATGGGGACCCCTCCAACCAGAAGAGCTTTATCCATCACTGCAGGGCTTTCGGTCTAGGGCCGGGTGCCCGGGTGAGCGTACAGGAACCACACAGTGCAAAAATAGAGTAATTCATAACATCACAGATAGAAACACAAAATTGATGTCTGTAAACTTCTTTGTACACCATTAATCTGTTAGCTCAGAGAAACTAGAAACAGAATGAGAACTTGAGCAAACACTGGGGTAGTTGCATCCACATAGAAAGGACTGCACCTTTGGTTAAAAAGCAGGAGCTATGAGGTTATTTTAGTCTTCCAACTGCTCAGCCAGTGCAGCTAAAAGCCAGCCACCATCAGCCACACGTGCGAGCGAGCCAGCATGCTGCCCACTGCAGAGGGCACACCAAATGCTCCTTCCTGGTCACTAGTCCTATTCCACAGCCAGCCTCGTTTGCATAAAAAAAGTTGGAGGACTCTGGGAAGGGTCCCAGTGTTCACCACTCAGTGCTGTGAAATACACTTTGTTCTTTCATTTAGAACAACACAAATTTACTTAACGTATGGGAAAAAATCAGAACAGAACAAAAAGTACACATGTGGGAAAGACAACAATATGGACTACAGATTCATCTTTATTATAAAGTAAAGCTCCTCCATGCAAACTATAATCCCTTTGCATTTCTAAAATAGGGCATTACGGAAAAAAAGCCATGTATGCTTTACTACAAATTTTGGAAGAGGAGGAAATAGGGAGAACTTGTATTTTAAAATTATCCATGCCTCTGGTTTCACTATGAAATATATGTTAAGAGACTAGAAAATGAGGCACATGTACAAAAAAAATTAAACTCAAGTATAAATGGAATTACAAACATGGATTTGATCATGAGCTTTCCCATCTCTAAGATCCACCTTCTTTTTTTTAAGGGTTCATCTCCAATTTCTTTTTTAATTAACAGAGCCACACACTTAAAAAAACATTATCAAGCAATGTGGAAAAACTGGCAGAAAATACTGTTAGAATACATGAAAAAGATATATTTTTCATAAGTATTCTTTAAAATACATCAAAGGAAGAAGTTAAAATAATTTCTAAATTGTTCTCAAAGTAATTTTATGATGACTACTTGGAAATGATTCACTTACAATTTCTACACCAACTTTGCATCTCTTGGACTTTTTTCCCTTTCCTAGCTCAGGGCTGCTTGGTGGATATTTGAAGGTTAAAAAAAAAATCATGTTTCTGTGCTGAAAAGTTATCAAGACCAGCTCTCTGCTGCATTTGCATTGTTATTAGGGACACACACACACAGACACACACGCACACACACTCTCTGAGCTTAATGTGAGGCTAGTACAGAAACAGAGAGATTAGACACAAAGAAATGTAAACAGCTCTCACATGCGAGGAAACTAGGTTACCAGAATCCCAGCACCAGGCATTCACCAGTCACCATGGAAAACAGGAAGTGAGATGCATAGCAACCACAAGCCAAAAAGCAGGAAAGCGCATACCTTTAGCTTGGAATGAAAATCACGAGATTTCCTTCTGGCAAGAACCTGAATGTGACTAGACACCTGCAGGGTAGGGGAAGGGAGGAAAACAAAGGAAAAGCCTGTAACCATGGAGATGAAAAGCCCCCTGCAACTGGGCAAGCCAGACGTACCTTAATGGCGGCTTGAATTTCTCGAACTTTCTTTCTTGCTAAGACCTGTATATGACTAGACACCTACATTGTTCGGGTTTATGAGGGGAAACAAAACAAAACAAAACAAAACAAAACAAAAAAAGGAAATCAAATATAAAATCGCTACTCCTTGGGAGGGTGCGGGGTGGGGGTGTGGGGGGAGGTTATTTGCATCTCAACAAAGCTCTGCAGTTAGGAACACACAGTCCCAGCCGGACACCAAGCCCCCAGCGCTGCTCTAAGCTTTTCAGACTGGGTCATCACTGCGGTGACTGGATTCAGGATGAAGGCTGAAGCTCATCTTAGTTTTCTCACCCAGGAGAAATCATGGGCATGGGATGAGAGGGGGAGAGTAGGGTTGTTTTCTTTATAAAATTAAAAAGTGGGGGTAGAGGTAAATGAAAATATTTATAGCTTCTCAGTATCAGGAGGGAAAATCCCTTCTTCTCAATTTAGAAGAGACTATCCATAAATTAGCACATTCTGCAGAATCAAAAAGCTGAAGCTGTCGGTTGTATTCTGATCTCATTAAGAGCTCTGGATTCTGTAGCAAATGTTAAAATAATACTGACATGTAAATTAGATCTCAAAGAGAAATGGAAAGACCCAGTTAGCAGAGTCTTTTTTTTTTTGCCCTTATAAATATCTTTAATCCTTCCACTCTTTGGGTATTGACTGGGCGCCAAGTGGATTTGCATATTATTACAAAGCGAAAAGTGTGAATACAGCCAGCCAGCCAGCCTGTTAAAAATCTGGGTTGAAAAACCACACGGATTTGCTGAACAACAAATTCACATTGGAGAGGTATCACCAACTGCTGCCTAAAAACATCCCCAGGATGCCGGGGTGTGGAAACCAAGCCAAGCCGGGCTTCTGAAACACAATGATTCCACTGGGTAAACAAATTTGCATCTCTTTCAGCGGGACTTGGTTAAATTTAGAAGAGCACCCCCAGTGAAGGGGTTGGGCACATGACCAGAGCTCACAGCCCAGCACACAGCCCAGGCCCAGCATTTTCAGTTTGTTGAGAATTAGATCTGTTTGTTTCAGAAATTTCGAACACTTCATTTAAAAGTTCAGCGACTCAGACTGTGAGCTCATTACTTCATTTCAAACACTCTAGCAACCTTAAAAACAGGAATCATAATAAATGATCCTTTTATCTTTAACTTTGCCTTTGAGTTTCAATGATTAATTTTTTCCCAATCTACTTTTGTATTTTTTTTAAAGCACGGAGAAGCAGGAACTCCCCCATCCTCTTCACCCCTTCATCCGGCTCCTACTTTTACTTGTTTTCACCCGAATTTTATTCTGATGTGATTCTCAGACTCAATTAGGGGCCGTAGTCAGGGGAACATCCATCGAACAGACAATGCCCTGCCTCTGAGCACTGGCAGGAGGCCCCCTCCCTCTGTGCTGACTCAGCTGCCGGGCTCCGGCTGGGGCGCACGGAGCATTCCTGGGGAAAAGCTCTCCCCCGTCATAAACACTCATGAAAACAGCTCATCACCGAGCAGAGGACTGGAATCTGCTGCTCGGGCTTAACGAGACCACAGTTGAGCTCGCCTTTTGGTTAGATTACAGTTTTTAAAATTCATGCCAGATCAGTCAGCGTAGGTCAACATTAAAGTATATAAATATATTTTCTGTTAACAACTCACCCGTGAGGTTGGTTTTTTCCCCCCTTTCCATTTCTTTCTTTTTCTGTTTTGCATTAAACACAATTAATTTCTCATCCATTCCAGTTCGGAACTGGGTCAGGATTTGATCTGCTCTACATCAGAAGGAACGAGGAGGGCCAGAGCCCTGCGACAGGGCAGAGGAAAATTCCTGACCCTGCTCTGCACAAAGGTATTTAAGTTGCAACTTCATTTCAGTCACAGCAGCTACTGACAAAAAGCCATAGCTTAAGGGGCAACAGTTCCCTGGACGCACATCATTCAGCTTTATATTCCAGCCAATACTCGCGGCTGCTCGTGTTACTTTTTCATTGAAATGATGAGTAATATGTAATTGTTCCAGGATTTTACAATGCGCAAAATCTCAAAATTCCATGACTTTCCAAGTGTATCTGCACCTGCAGATTTTGCAACGTCTGCAGATGGACAGTTTGGGAAAGAAATGTAAGTGACACAATATAGTACAGGAGCAGTGCATACACTGCCCTTCACAGTGAAACTTTCCCGTATGTGTATAGAAGGAACTCCAGAGACCACATGATAAAGGGTCACTGAAATGATGAACAGTGAAACACGAAGCCAATTTCAAACACCTACAACACTGACGTCCTTACAGGGAACTCCAATTGGGGGCTCCTAGGAGCCAAAGCACAGACAGCCACTGCAGCCAAAATGCCCCCTTGGGCCATTCGCTGACATGCACAATTTCCAGGTAGGTTCTTTTACCTGTTTTCTGGTCCTCGTCTTCCCTGTCCTGAGTTTGATGTATCTGGCTATCAATTCATTCCTACCTGAAAGAAAGAATTTACAATAAAGTAGGTTACTTGGGGGGAAACAAAGCCTCTGACAGCTAAGCATATAATTCAGAATCAAGAATTTTAAAGTTGCAGCTGTAAATTTATTAGTGCTGGAAAAATAAAGCAGTACTTTTTTTTGCAAAAAATATTTACTAGGGGAAATTAGAAAGAAGGGAATTTAATTATGAACTACAATAAGCAATTAAGGAGAGAAATGTGTCTTTATGTTTGTTTGCATGTTTGTCCCTAAAGGGATGGTGACTTGTAGAAATAGCAAATACAAGGAGGTGTGTGGGGCACACAGACCCGGTTCTGTTCTAGTCTTATTTTTCATAACCATTCCTTCTCACCCAGGTTTCTATTCACAGGTAACTCCAGTTAGTCATTATAGCCATGAGAAAATGAACTACTGTGGCCACGGAAACCCTGCCATGAGAAGAAGTCACAGGATGGGAGCAAACACCCTCTAAAGGTCATCACTGCACCAGATCAACCTTTTCCACGTTTTATAACCTTTGGGGGAAAGAAAATAACTTAAAGTACGAACAGATACCTCAAACTGATAACCTGACTTTGAGGACTATAATATAATGGGAAGATAAATCCCAGAAGCCGCGTGAGGAAACGTATCACTAATATTACATGAAACAAAAACGTGCTCATACAGGACACATGGGTCCAAACTGTTGCTATAATCATAACTGTACAGCTAGTGGTCTGTGTTTGCTGTCTTACTCCCCACACATACTGACTGCACAGCTGAAGAGAGAAACAGATTCCGTCTTATCCCCCAAGGTCGCCCCAGCATGCAACACACTGCTGGGCACACAGAAAGAGTCAGTGAGGAACCACACAGCCGCCAGTGAAAGATAGTAACCACATCCCCAGACTGTCCTGGCAGAGTAACTAACTGGCGGCCCTGAAGAGGACCAAGATGAGTGTCCTGATGGGACACTTGCCTGCAAATTCTAAAGACTCTCTCATCGCTGCCCAGAATGTTCCTGTAGTCATGTTCACCAACTGCCTGCGTTAGGACTGTGCAGGACACACTCATCAACAGAAGGCAAAGGAATCATGGACTCTTGGGGACGGAAATTACTTCTGGGTCATGCTTTCCCATCCCTAAAAGTCTAAGTCCTTATGTAAGCCAGCACTTCTAGAATAAAGGAAGCCACTCATTCCATCTTAAAACGTATTAAGGATAGAAAGATCCTCCTTATTTGGAGCTTCCTGTAACTTTCAGCCCCAGATTCCTTTTTGTTCCTCTTAACAAGAACAAGACTAGTCCCTTATGCACGACTGCCTTTCAGGTACTACTGACAGCTTTTCAGGTCTTCCTGCAGTTGTATCCAGGCTAAGTCTCCCTCATTTCTTTGTTATCTGTGACAAGCTTCCGAACACTCTCACATCCCTCCTGTGATCACTTTTGTCTATTTTCCTTTCATAGCCCAGAGCCCAGAAGTGCACTCACCTCCTTGGCCCTAAATACGCCACCTCTGTTAATGCAGCCTAACACTGCATTAGATTTTGGGAGACCACAATACACTGTCAGATGATGTCAGTTTGAACTCCTAGATCTTTTTCATGTGGGCTACTTCTCAGACATACCTCTACCCTTGTTCCCAATCTTTTCATGCATAGGTGGGACTCTCATCCAAATACAGAACATCACATTTACTTCTATTGCATTTCATCCTGTTAGATTAAGCCTGTCATTCCAGCCTGTCAGTCTCAGATCCTGATTCTGTGACTGAACTTACCCTTTAACCACAGGAAAAGGACCTAAATTCAGTTTTGAGGATTGCTTCTCTAAGCATTCTCTTTCAAACTTTTGAGAACTACCAATATTCCCTGTAGTGTCATCGGGTCTACTTCTCCATCTCTCAGATGGTTGTACAGATTTTGCAATTTGTCTCAAAGGCTGGCTGACAGCAGAGCCCGGCTAGGAGTGCCTAATTACCAGAAACCAGACCTAAACAACAATGTCTGCAGGCGAGCCAAGCATCCTCCATCTCGGGGCCTCACTGTGCACCCTGCTCAGAGCTGAGTGGCCAGGACGAAATAAATCCAGGGCTCCGTATTACTGCAATTTCATCTGAACCTCGTCCAGATGGCAAGAACGTCTCCTGCTCCCTTACTTGCTTATTTTCTGTGAAAGCAGACAGAAGAGCTTGAGGTGTGTGACCTACAACCTATGTAACTAATTTTTCATTTCTTATGGCATTTGGTTGAATGGATGAGACGAATACCCAGGACGGCCACATCTGACTGTACAACCTGTGGTTTACACAATGCCATAAACAACATCGACACACACTTCGATTAAAGTCCTTCTAAAAAGCACCAAGAGGCCCTCACTGCGCACCTACTGTGTGCTGAGCACGACACTGTATCATTTCACTGAAAGCTTGTCACGACCCTCATGTCCCTGATCCTTACATGAGCAAGAATCACCTTTCAAAAGCCTGTGTTCCTTCTTTCATAACATGTTTCAAGCCATGAAGAGTAATTAACCTGAAGTTCCTATGTGTTTCTTCTTGCCTCACCATAAATATCGCTGATTCAAATTATAAATTCAAATTCCACTGACACCAAACATCTCCCGTGACCTCAAAGCACAGTGTTAATCAGTTTGTTTTATATGAATATTTTTAATGACCATAAGTGTAGCTTTGCACACAGAAAACATCATTCAGGTTTACCTAGTTTTAAAAATATTTCTTTCATTTATTTGGTTTAAAAAACCTTAAATGTCATGGTTCACTTTCAAGTTTTTAAGTTCAGCTTACATTTTTAAAAATAATTTTTATAATCATTTTGAAGGGCCATTGGATTGTTTGGTCCATTTTACAAACCTAGTTAAATTCCTTTAAATATTTAAAACCATGTGTTTAATTTAAAATTTACTCTTTTAAATATTTAACTCTTTTAAATATTAGAATCGTTTGATTTGACTTACAAAACCTTCTCTTAAACAACTCTTAGAAACCTAATAAACTCTCTTAAGTGCTCCAATATTGCTTACAAATCTAGTTAAGACTTTAACCTTCCCCAAAATCAAGTCTAAATCAATTGCTTCATTGCACATTTTAATTTGGAAATACCAGGCTGACCTGTTATGTGGACCAAATTATTTAAAATAATTACCTGAAATATTTACATGCATAAATCCTTAAAAAAAAAAAGAACTAACACTATGGCTATGATTCTGTTAAAAAATGTCTATATTCAATTCTAAGTCTTCCCAGAATTACAATATGCTTACCCTTTAAGGAAACAAGTATGCCATTCCAAATGATTTGGGAATATCTTTTTGGGTGCTTGGATGGGGTTGTACCTATTTTACTAGGTTCTGAATGGATTCTTGTTAGCAACATTGATGGGATGTTCAGAGCCCTATTTATATTTCTATAGCATAGCCCCCAAAAATGGGGTGGATCCATACAGTTCAAAGGCCTGGATTTGAATCATGGTACTAAGGTAATTCTCCAGCCAATGATGGGGAACTCAATGATGGGGAACTCAGGGGTACCAAACATCACTGTTGTAACTGGCAGTGGGGCTCTGGTCCACCAAGCACAGTCTTGTTTTGGAGCCATGAAGAATGTTAACCCTCCATTCTGTAACTCTCTCTTCCAAAACACACACACACACACACACACACACACACACACACGTGCCTGATCCAGTAAACCTTACATTACAAAAGGGACTTTCAACAAAGATAACTTTACAGTCAATCATGACATTCCTGAAGTAATCCCACAATCACGTGGGGACCATCCCTCCTTTGTACCAGACAGGATACCTGTCTGGTGTATTGGGGGTATAAGGACAGCCTAGCTGGCTGCCCGTGAGGAGTCCACTGTCCAAGACAGGGTCAAAGACAGAGCAAATCAGCTCTACATGTCAGAGAATGACTGCAAGAGGGTCTCACAACACACATGGGTAATCAGCCCCAAATAACTCCAGAAGTCTAGGAAGCCTTTCCCAAAGTGCTAGGCTTTTAAGTATAGCTTACACTTCCTCCAACATTTTATTATAAAAGTTTATGACACACAGAAAAGTTTTTTACAGAAAGAATTTCTCAGTAAACGCTATATACCCACCACCTAGATGCTACCATTCACTCTTTGATACACGCTTTATCACATGTCACAACATCTCCCCATTCCTCTATCCATCCTCCAAGGCATCTTACTCTGTTGTTGCTGTTGCACTTCAAAATAAGGGGCAGGCATGATAATATCCCTTTATACTTCGTGTGCATATCATGAACCAGAGTGACAAGACTGACCTTGACAGGGAGAACGGAGTAGGGAAGGTTGAAGGCCCCTTTGGACTGAGGAAGCAGCCTCAGCCTGGGGCGAGGCTGTCTTTACATCCCTGATTGTATTTCCTTAAATATATACACAGGAGACTGGGGCTCTTTTAAAAGCCATGCATGCTGTTCCTCAAGCCCCCGAGACCACTAGACATGCTCTTTTTGAGCCCGGGAGTCTCCAGGTTCTACACTCACAGCATCCACAGCTCATCTCCTTCATTTCTTCTCTACAAACACCTGTAGGAGCTTATAGAGCTGAGTGGCCATGTCACCCTTCGCCACTAAGTGTCGCTATACTACAGCTGCTCTGCAGCACACGGTGTCCTCTGGAAATGCAGACCCTGTCACTTCTTTAAATCTGAGATTTCTGCAGCTGCAGTCATGGATGCTTTTCCCACAGGCAAGAGGCAGCAGCAAAGACAAATACAGCCCCACCTGTCACTTTTATACTGTGATCCTCACCAGGCACTGCAATCCAGTTTTTATTTTCTTTTTCTTTCTCCTAAATAACATAACACAGTTGAAAGTGAGCTCATCACTGGCTTCTCCTGCCTCCCAGATTGCCACAGAATTTCCTGTTAAAGGGGCAACAGAGAGAGATTCCAGCAGAAAGGCACGACGTTTGCGCTGCGCTTTGCCTTACCCAGACAGAAGACTGGTTAACGTTGTT